GCCCCGCCCCGCCCCTCCCAGAACGCCCCGCCCCGGCTCGCCATGCCATGCGGGGTCTCCGCGGGCGGCGCGCGAGAGAGCAGAGGTCAAGGCCGGGTGTGAAGGACACAGGAGTCAACACGAGAGTTGTTGCACATCGTCTGGTACTAAATAGCACACGTTACGAAACTACTTTTGAACCAGATGTGAACTTCGGCGGTACAATAGTCGTTAGAGCGTCAATAGGAAGCCACAATCCATAAACGATTCTTCATACACACACAATTATTCTATGTAATAAGTGATTTGTATCGGGTTCGATATGACTCACGTAATTACATCGAAAAGAAAGTATTTTCAATTGTGTTGATTGAATGTGCTTATAACCATTTCCATCGTGCAACATCGAGTTGGTGGGCAGTTCTAGTCAAAAAAATGTGAAACAAGATTGCAGTATGTGAATTAAGCCTTAGAGTCAAACACTACAATCAAAATTCGGTTCTACTCAGCTTATCGTATTACAAAAAAAGGTATGCTAACGACTGTCGAGACTTACGAAACTGACCTAAAACTCTCTCCTGGAGAAAATAATTAAATATATGGGGATAATGTCATAAAAGAAATATTGTATAGACGATGCGTCATTTTAGATGGTAAAAATATGCACCAGCGTATTTGTCTCAATTAAATGAACATATGTCTCCTATGACATTTTGCTGAGAAACTCCTTTTTTCTGCTAAAGAGTTTTGCATGACTTCTTCTCTTCTAAATCATACCGGATACTGTGCTTAAAATGAGTCAAAAAGTAGTATTATCTAATTATTCCAAATATTTTAAAAAAATGTACTTCTTTCAAATACAAACTATGAAAAAGTTTCAGATTCGACAGTCTCCTATCGCGCGAGGCCCTGCCATCGCTTCCGATGTTAGACCGCAAGTCGGCCATCGGAATTGCAGTGCACTACTCGCAAATAACACTACTGACCTCTTCAGATTGCAACAACACTTCGAGTCTTGCAAATGCAAATAAAGTTCCGATGAATAACAGGATACGATGAAATTTAAAAATTACAACAAACACATTTTTCTGAATCTATGATTCTCAGGCAAAACACGAGATAAATTATTTATCGCTAATATTACGAGTCGAATTGTGAACGAATATTGCGAGTGGAAATGACTCATATGTATATTTTTCTTCTATGATTATATAGATACGACTACTTTGCTTGCCAATCCACGAGCGAGGGATGAAAATATGCTTTAGATCCCAGAGCCCAGGGCGATTAGCGTCGTGACCTCCTGCGTTATTGGGGAGACACTTTCATTCGCTTAGACTTGTGAATCAGCCTGAGCGTTTCAGTAACTGCCGCCGTGTGAATTGCGTGTCTGGCTGCGAAACACGAAATCGTTGGCAGCAGGTACAATGTTTCGTTCGATCGTAACGAACTGAGGTAACTGTTAGTAATGTAAATTATTTTAGTATGATAGAATAAGTTTTTAATGATTATTTTATTTGAAAATTATAGTCTTTTTCTTGCAACTCTACCCATCAGCTGTAGAAATATTAAAACAATTTACAGAAGATGACAATTTACTGAATTTGAAAAGAGCATCCGAAATTTGACAAGGCATTTTTGGGCGACGTTCCTAAACAATTTGTCAAACATAATAAATATTCGGAGTCAGACTGATTCTGTGTGACTTTCAACACACTTAAGTATCAAAGCATCTTTTTCGTTGTACTTGGCAGGGTAAACCATTTTCTCCGGAGTAATAAATTGCATCAGGGAATGAGTTCTTTTCAATTTTGTATTATAAACAAAGCTTTACTTGATTCACGCACCTTTTCATTATTTTGCAGTCGCAAATGTCATTACCGTATACAAGTAAACCTGTTTTAATTGTTTCATGAATGTTTTGGGTTCAACATGAGTTGCGTAACAACACATCAGCTCCCTGGGAGAAGTAATTTAAACTCCCTTGGCAATAAAGCGTGGTTCAGACAATAGACAACAAACCCATAAAGATGCACTTTGAATGCGTGAAATAAATATTTCATTGCTCATAAATAAACACAATTCGATTCTTTGTTTCTATAAGACCATGCTTTGTTTACGTCTCTTTAAACGCAGTATTGGAGAACAATAAAGAGACATCTTCAATCTCAGCAAAGAAAATTCATATTTGGATACATCTATCATTAAAATTTGGGCCTCGTCGTTTACACAGCTCTGTTGTTTTTTTATCATTGTTTTTTAAGAGATTGTTTTCAGAGATTGTTGTCAGAGTTTAAGAGTTGTCGATTCTGTGTGCTGTATTCTTTAAAATGCCTTTCCTGCGTAATTAGTAAACTGTATTTTTACGTTTATTTAAAGCCGCAGCTGTCTTTGTTAATTATTTTAATTCCTCTGCGTTATTTTTTAAGAAAATGAATCAATGGTTGATTAATTGACATGGAAGAAAGAGAAAAACTCTTGAATAACATGCTGCGCAGTCTGTTTTCTCCATCAGAAATGCCACGTAGTAGATACATCGCTTTTGACTTCTGTATTCAGAAATACAATCTAGCGCACCGGTGTCGTAGTGGACGAACGAAATATACTGCCTTATGGTAACATGAGGGGGCGTGGTGTAGGACGAAACAAGGTAGGACGGGGTGATACGGGGCGGTGCGAAAAGATGCGAGTCGGGGGCAATGGAAGTGGGGGTGATATGGATCGTGGCAGGGCGATGCAGGACGCGGCGGAAGGAAGTGCTGTGGTGTGAGATGGGTCGAGGCGGGACGATACGGAACGGCGAAGGGCGACGTGAGGAGATGTGGGGCGGGGGTGCGGGTTGCGGCGGCATGGGACGATGCGGGGTTGGAGGGAGTGATGCGAGTCGGGGCGGGGCGGAGCGATGCGGAGCAGAACGGGGCGCTGCGGGGAAGGAACGGGGCGTGCATTGTGAGACGATACGGGACGGGGCGATGCAGTGAGGGGACAGGACGGTGATGCGGGAGGGCGGACGAAACTGGATGGTACGGGACGGGGCGATGCAAGACGGTGGTGCACGGGACGGGGCGATGCGGGGAGACGGACGATGGGGCGAGGGTGGGGACCCGCCCGCCTAGCAGACTCGGAGCGTGCCCAGCTGTGCGTCTCGCTGCTCGGAAGCTCCGCGCCTCATCGATCATTGATGGGGCGCCGCGATTCCTCCACCGGCCGCGCATTCCCTGCCCCTGCCCACTCCGCCCGCCGCTCTGCAAACGACCTCTGGCGACAAATGCACCGAAGCCGCACGCGACGGGCAGACGCAGAGACCCGGCGCGGCGACGGCGCGACGCGGAAGCAGAAAGAACGGCGGGGCAGGAACGAGGACGAAGGGACGGGAACACACGCTTGGGGACGGTGACGGATGGGACGGGGCGATCACTGGATGGGGCAGGCCGGGCGGGCAGCGCGACGGCAGGGGCGGAGATAGCGAGACTCTGTTGCACAAGCAGAGTGGATGTGTCTGGGATGGGGACGAAAGCGCAGAAAGCTGGGAAATGTTATGGGAACACGGCGGGTGGCGGAGATAAAATAGTTTACAAAACTTTAGTATGTAAAGCTTTTTCGCTGAACGAAAAAAACAATAAATTTCAAAGGAAACCTGCAAAGAGTCAATTTCAATGCGTGATTATTTGCCGATTATTATATTTAATTAATCTGCGAAGAAATCTATTAATACTTCATTTTCAATTTATAGCACTTTCACTTTCTTCCAGCTTTTCACTTTTACAGCTCTTTAATTGCTGGGGTCGTCGAGATCCGTGTGTAAAGATCAAATGAGCAGCTGTAACTGAAATGATTGAGAAATAGTAGAAAGAGAGCAGGGAAACAGGAGATCGCTGAAGAAAACATGCGAGAGGCTGTCCGTCCACCTCAAGAAATGGAAACCTAGCACTAGCGATGGTAGGTGTACGCACTAGACATTACACCATGAGCTCTCTCTAAACAACCTAAAGAAGTGGCCAGAGTTTCTACATTTTTTCCAATTACACGTCTAAAACAAAAAGTTTGTGTTTCTTACATTGGGTTTACTATAAAGTGTTCATTAAACACCAGGCGTGTAATGAACAATGCACACTAACGTGAACAGATGGACGACACCTGTTCCGCTGAATACCTCGCTCCAGAATACGCGAGGTATTCGCGACGAAGGCAAATGTTTCGCACTTTCACCTGCGCGCAGCCCGTTATGAGACGCGGGGACCGGAGGAATTCGCAGGCGGCGAGGGCGACGCGAGCGGAGGTGGCCCGAAAGAGACAGACGACGCACGGCGCGGCGCGGCGGCGGCGCCGGGGGCGCAGACAAAGGAGGAGACGCGCGCGCACGCGGACGCTTGCGTGTTTGTCGAATTCCGCCGCAAATTGCCGCCAGAGGCGCAGGAGCAAGCAGCGAGCGCTCGGTGCTCGCGGAGGGCAAGCGGCAAAGGAACCAACGCAACGAGAGGGAGGGGTCGTTGGCAGCCGGGGGTGATGGCAATGGCGACATCGGGAGCGGCGTGCGTTGTGGCGTCGTTGGTGGCGTCGTTGATGGCGTCGTTGGTGGCGTCGTTGTTGGCGTCGTTGTTGCGTCGTTGTTGGCGCTCTTTGTTGACGTCGGTTGGTGCCGTCGTTGGTGCTGTCGTTGGTGCGTCGTTTGTTTCGTCGTTGGTGGCGTCGTTGTCGTCGTTGGTGGCGTCGTTGTTGGCGTCGTTGTTGGCGTCGTTGTTGGCGTAGTTGGTGGCGTCGTTGGTGGCGTCGTTGTGTGCGTCGTTGGGGGCGTCGTTGGTGGCGTCGTTGGTGGCGTCGTTGGTGCGTCGGTTGTTGGCGTCGTTGTGGCGTCGGTGAGTGGCGTCGTGGTGGCGGTCGTGGTGGCGTCGGTGGTTGCGTCGTGTGGCGTCGGTGGTGCGTCGGTGGTGGCGTCGGTGGGTGAGCGTGGTGGTGCGTCGGTGGTGGCGTCGGTGGTGCGTCGGTGGTGGCGTCGTTGGTGGCGTCGTTGGTGGCGTCGTTGTTGGCCGTCGTGTTGGCTCGTTGTTGGCGGTGTTGGTGCGTCGTTGTGGCGTCGTTGGTGGCGTCGATGGTGGCGGTCGGTGTTGGCGGTCGTTGTTGGCGGTCGGTGTGACGTCGGTGGTGGCGGTCGTGGTGACGTCGGTGGTGGCGTCGGTTGGTGGCGGTCGGTAGTGGCGTCGTCGTGACGGTGGCGACGTTGGGACCTCTTTGGTGGCAGTGATAATGTCGCGGTGGCGTCGGTTGCGACGTTGGTGATAATGGTCCGGAGTGGGGTGATGGCGTCGTTGTGTCGGCGTGCGATGATGCTGGTGGCGGTGACGGTGGCGGGGCGGCGGTGTGTGGGGGTGAGGACGGTGGGGGCGAGGTGGGAGGGCGAAAGGGAAAAATATCCCGCTCCACTGCGGAGTCGCAGGCCCCGCGTGAATAACACATGTCGCGAGGACATCGCTGCGTCTCCGCCGCTGTGCGAGTGGCCGCAGGGCACAGAGGCGGCGACCGGTGGAACAGACTCCTACAGTCCCTGCGCTGTTGACTCTTCGCTCTCTTTGTGACCGCGCAGCCTCCTACACTGATACCGTAGATTCCACTAGAAATAGAGGAGATCGCTGAATCGATAAAATTATTTCCTTTTCTTCTTTGTCTAGCTCTTTATTCCTGTATGGGTTTTGGCGTATCATCCGCGTTCCACAGATCTACCAGTATTTTTCTTTAGGTCATGAGGAACAAGAGGGCTTTTGGTGTCATGTTTAGCGTTGCACCTTTCACCGCTGGGTGAGAGTAAAATCACCAGCAACTGGAATGTGGAGTTTGCAGTGGACAAAGCGACCTCTTTTCAGGCTTTCTCGGGATTCTCCTGTTTGCCCCGCCTCATTCCAATTTTTCTGCTATTATTCGTCTACTCATCGCAATCATCTATTCATTGAATCGTATCTCACGGGCGTTTATCATCTTATATGCAGCTGAAAGACTCCTAAATATAAACAAATACGTTAATAAGAATCAGGATAGATACGAGAGGTGATTATAACGCTTGGTTCATGGAATGAGGTTTCGACGAATAAGTTTGGCAGAGATCTAGAATTGTCCTTTACACAGTGGTTAGCTTTCACAGATCTCCCGATCAACGGAGATTAAGTTGGACATGCAACAACAATTAAAGCTGAAAGAAGTGATACATATGTTGTATATTTAATGGGTAATTATTCCTGTGAATTAAAAATATTATAGTGTTGATCAATTATATTATATAGTTGATCAAATGTTATTAAAAGTAAGAGGTACTTTACTACATATGTTATTATAAGACAATGAATATATTATGTATAATGCGAAGTGTCGAATGCATTATATTTGTATAATAAACATTCTTCATACCAACAAAAAGTTATAAATAATGTACCCAAAGACTTTCTCGTTTCTGTTGATCGCCCTTCTGTGTAACTGCAAACACCTGCTGTGTAACTGGTGGTAATAGCTTCGACGGCTAAGAAAGCAAATAGAAGAATTTCTCTCTTCTGCAAATTGCGGTGTCGAATGAATGGTTCTCTTCGTAGCTCATTTTCAGTAGACGATAAATCGATTCTTTTATTTTAACTTATATTTTATA